TTTGTCACATTAATTATGCCCATGGGAGAGTTGCAGGTTTCCTCTTACCAGTGATGGACACGGAAGTTAGGTTCAGATGCTGCTTGCATAGCCACAGCTGAGAGGGAAGAAGCACTTCACAGGCAGGATCCTGAAAGCGGTGGGTAGTGGCAAACCCTACATTCTCAACGTTGTTCTTATTAAAGCTGCGGTGATGCTAAAGCTGAATTTTTAAATTAGTAGTAAGAAAAGTAGCTTAGTAATGGAAAATTTACAAGAGCAAACGTAATAAAGTTTATTTTCTTTTTAACTTTTCTTTTGTTTGTCTCTATCTACCTCCCTCTCTGTCTCTCTGTGATCCCCCCCCACACACACACACATGCACACATGAGCAAGTGTGCAATTCTACATGCCCATAATGGGGCAGGTAGGATCCAGGGAGAAACATGTCTTTTTTTCTGCTGCTCTCCACCTTGTTTTTTTAGGCAGACTCTCTTGTTGACTCTGGAGTGCTCTATTTGGGCTAGGATGGCTGGCCAGGAAGCCCCCAGATCTGTGTGTCCCTTCCCCTAAGCTCTGGGGTTACAAGCATGCACCACCAGTCCTGTCTTTTTACATATATCCTGGGGACCCAAACATGGATCCTTGTGTGCCATCTCCTCAGTCCCAACTTACTTTTTAATGTTTATTCTTTTGATAATTTTATATAATAGATTTTGATCATATCCTTTCCCTCTCTCAAGTTTTCCCAGCTGTCCCCCTATTCATTCAGCTTCATGTTCTTGCTCTCTCTTAAACAAACAAACAAACAAACAAACGGAATACCTACAAAAACAGAAAAACAATGGTGTCTGATTTGTGTTTATTAAATACCCCTGAGCATGGGGCCGGCCGTGGAGTGTGGTTGATAAACCTACCCATTGTCACACCATTGAAGAGAACTAATTTTTCCTCTCCCACAGCTATCACTGTAAATAGACTAAAGGGGCCTTTGTGCCCACATCCCCTCCTCTGTGCTGGGATTTCCTCCAGCTTGGACTTGCACAGGTCTTGTGTCTGCCGTTACAGCCTTTGTGAGCTCATATGTGCCTCTGCCCCAGTGTGTCTGGTAATGCTGTTTCCTGGAAGTCCTCTACCATCCTTTTCCCCTCCGATCTTCTGAGCCTTAAAAGAGGAATAGGATCCTATTCAGCACTGAGCACTCCAAAGTCTGTGTCTCCCTGTTCTCCAGCTGTGTTAATTACCATCTACTGCAAGACAATTTCTCAGACATGTCTTTCAGGCAGGTCATTATTGTAGCTTTCAGGCCAATTTATTTGAAATTGTGAATTATTTCTAGAATTTTCCATCTAATGCTTTTGAACTACTTGACCTCAAGAAACCAAATGTGTCAACAACAAAACCGCAGAAAGGGAATAATCGTCTACATAGATGGGGCAATTTGTGTTTGAATTTGTTAAAAATCTTTTTATTTTGAAGCAATTTCGGGCTTAAAGAAAAGTTCCAAATAGAGTACAAAGAATTCTTGCATGTCCTTCACCGCCCATCTATACATGTATCCTTACGTCACTATCTTTTCCTTCCTTGCCATCCTTGGCTCCAGACACCTACCAGTCCAGCCGTCATTTATCCTGACTCATAAAAATCTCAGAGAGAATGTCCCATCAATATAGTCAGTGACTATTTCATAAAATCAAGGACACTGTCTTTTATAGGCAAGGACCACATTCAGACAAGGAAAAGAATGTAGACACAACACTACCATCCAAGCAGCAAACCCTGTTCAACTGGCACCAGTCATCCACTGCTGTTCTAGGCGGAGGAAGAGCATCCCCCACCCCCAGCCTAGGGTCTTGTATAGGACCACTGGACACATCATTATTTTGTCTATTTTAATATGGAGAAAGTTCCCCAATCTTTTTGGGGGGGCTATTTGGGGGTAGAGACCTTTGACATTTGAAGCATGCACCTAGCTTTGTCAAGTCTTTTTGTTTTGTTTTGTTTTGTTTTGTTTTGAGACAGTCTTACTATGCTACACTGACATGTAGCATCAACTCACAATACTCCTGTTTCAGTCTCTTGAGTGTAGAAATATGGACATATACCCCCTCACCAGATCAGACGATCTTAGATAACATCCCTCAATTATGGTTTCTTTAATGTTTTCTCAAGATTCCTGAGGCTCTGTATTCCATGTTTCTGCTGCCAGAAGGCATATGATATCCACTTGTCCAACAACTGCTGATGTTAACACTGTCTGCCAGGCCTTCCTGTTTTCAGTGTGTAGTTAATACCTATCTTCTGGGCACTTACTTTATCACCATATGTGTATCCTGTCTCTCAGCACTCACTAGGTTTTGTCCATTCATAATGATTCTTGCCTGAGACAATTCCGGCTATGGTAGGTGCCAGATGGTGACTTTCTAATTCACAATTATTTCAATATTAATTAGCTGGCATTCTACTGTAAAAGAAACACACCCTTCTCATTCATATATTCATTCAAAATGACTGGTGGGTTTTTATCTTATTCTGTGGTGTCATCTATTGTTAAATTGACTTAATGTTTGACTCCGATAATCACACAGCCCCTAACATTGCCAGTGGGGACTGCTTCAATCTGGCCACTATGATTTGTGACAGCTCACCCTTCCTTGAGCAACTGTTTACTTTCAACACAGGAATGTGTCCTAGAACCAGCCAAAAAGTTAGTGGCATCCCCTAAGGAGCCCTAATATCCTAATTCCTTTTATTGGAAAAATATTTAGAAACTAGATCTAAGCTGGGTGTCATGGTCCACAGCCGTAGTTCTAGTACTTGGAAGGTTCAAGCAAGAAGATCAGGAGTTCAAGGTCAACCTTGACTACATAAAGAGTTTAAGTCCAGCCTATACCACACCAGTTGTTGTCTTAGAACAACAACACACTCAAGCACAAGCATGTGCACCCATACACACACACACACACACACACACACGTTAAACAAAAAAATTGAAAATATGGGTCATTCCTTTTTGTTTATAATCCATTTGAGGTTTTTGTCTCTGATTTTAGGTAATTTAATTTTGAAAATTCAGTTTTGAGGCATTGCTCTAGATGTCAAAGCTGCATAAACATACATTTAGAGGAGCTCTGTCCCTGGACACACAGCACTTGTATTCTGTTCCTAGCCCCAGTCCCTTACAGCATGCTGCCAGCCACCACCCATTACCACCACATTTCATTAGTTCCTCCTTTAGTCCTCTTTGTTTTTTCTCCCCCTCTCCAGGATCGTGTTGTACAGCTCAAACTGGCTTCAAACTCTTAATCCCCCTGCCTCACACTTTCAGCTGCTAGGGTTACAATTAGGAACCTCCACATCCAACTTTGGGCTTTTTTGTTTTGTTTATGTTGTGTAGAAATGGACATCACATGTTTCCCTTCGCTTTTTCCAAAAGATATCTGCAAGACACACTCCTCTCTCCCTCTCCCTCCCTCTCCCTCCCTCTCCCTCTCTCCCCCTCTCCCTCTCCCTCTCTCTCCCTCCCTCTCTCCCTCTCCCTCTTCTTCTCTCTCTCCCTCTCTCCCTCCCCCTCCCTTTCCCTTTCTCTCTCTCCCTTTCCTTCCCTCTCTCTCCCTCTCCCTCCCTCTCTCTCTCTCTCCCTCTAACTTAATAAGATGCACAGCTTGTCCATGCATGTCAGTCACAGATGTGGCCTGCTGGTTCCTACAGCTGCACAGCATCCCTCTGTGTGGATGTCTCTGGCTGAGTGCTCTGATGTGTGGGCATGTGGTTCACCTCCAACACTTTTCATTTAGAATCTATAGTGCAAGGGACTACTTTGTTCGTGAATATTTCCTTACTCTCTTTCCTTTACATGTGTTTTTCTACCTTACGTGTATCTGCTGTATCTAGTGTATTTTGTGTGTGCGCGCACATTTGTGGATGGCTCAGAGGATGACTTTGAGCAATCAGTTCACTCCCTCCACTGTGCACCTTCCTGGGAACAAACTTGGGTTGTCAGGCTTGGCAGCCAATGCCTTTATCCTCTGCGACATCCATCTTGGCAGTCCATTTTCCTAATTTTGGAGGTAAATTTCTAGAGGTGGAATTCTTGGCACAAAGAGAAAATACACACATACTATTTTTAGATCTTGCCAATTAGCCCACCAGGAAGCTGGCCCCAGTTTGAAACCCTGCCATGGATGTGTGAGATGACCTGTTTCCCACATCCCTGCTCACAGAATGAGCTGTGCACTGTTTGTCAGTTCCCAACTCGAGTGGAAAGTTACCTCGGTGCACCTTCCGGGTGGCTCTCCACTGGGAATGGAGCCAAATGTTTTCCCATGCATCTGAGGCCACTCTAAAGGGGACCTCTGGCTCCCACAGTACACACACAGGATCAGCCTCCTTCTCCCATCTATATGACCAGGCCACAGTGGGAGAGACTGGCCATGCAGAGAAAACCAGAGAACACAGTTCTCTCTACTGAGGATGTGGTAGAGGGCTCTCAGAAAGTCACTTGCAAGTCTGCTGCTTCTTTCGGGACAGTCCGGACAGAGAAGGAATTGAGGCCACCTGGGTGGCTGTCAGGCTTCTAGAATGAAGAGGATCCAGTCTCTCACATGGCCCACCCCACGACAGTCTGGGGAGGGGAGCAGACAAGCAGGGAGGAGGTGTGAGGCAGGTGGTGGTAGTAGCTGTCAGGAATGAAGGCTAAACAGCGTTGGTGGAAATCAAAGATAAACTTTCGTCCCTCTCTCTGTCTCCACAGCTCAGCCAGATGATGCTGGCTATTTTGAGAAGTTTCCCAGAATGGCGTTTGATGCATGCATATCACGATCTTTCAAGGCAAGCTTGGGAGGAGACTTCAGAGTTTCCATCACTTTCCCCAGCAGCCACTCAAGCCTCCCCTCTGTAAACCACACGCAGAAGTCACAGTAGACAAACACACATCTGTCTCTTATCCTCTCCCAGTATGAAAAGCACTGTGGGCCTTAGAAACAGACTCCCAAATCCACATCCCTGGAGTTCTCTGGCTATTAGTGGCCCCAGTTTCTGCCTATATGCTCTATTTTCCATATTTGTTTGGTACAGTTCTCTAACACAAGCCTGTAGGGGCCTGAGGGGTCCTTTCTGATCTCCAGACACCGTGCGGTATCCTTGTTTTTGATGGATTTTCCCTAGATGGAAGAGACAAAGGCGAGGTATTTACTGTGTCCTCCTCGAGAGCGTATCCTCTTGCTCAGCTGGGTGGTCAGATTTGTACTTCAGGGTTCCTTGGTCCTCTCCCAGAGGAGAAAGAGAAGCAAGGAGTAGACTTCGCCTGCCTATAGATCTCCGCCCAGCCGTGTGTACAAGCTAGGCGACTGCAGCTGTGATGCCTCTCAGGGGTGAAAGGTCAGCCCTGCACTCGGCTGACAATCATGGCTGCATCCCACAGGGCATCCCCCTGCTACTTGCCCTTCTTTGAACTTCTCCACCCTTGAGCCCACAAACCCCCACTCTCCCTCATCCCCTCCATCATCATAGAGGGAAGCATAGGGCAGTAACCACACAGGAATCTCAGCCTGTCTACCCCACCCCACCCCCAGTGGTACCCTCCTCCCATCACTGTTCAATGAGCTAAGCAGCAGAATTGAGGAGGTGCCCTCACTTCCCAGGACCTTAAGCGACTTTCATAACCTTCCCAAGTCTGATTTCCATGTGAAGGCTGGAGTCACTGTTCCTGGAATGTCCTATGCCAGATACAAGGAAGTTGTACGGTGGATCTAAGTTTACCTCTGTGTACCCCCTCCCTGTTCCAAGGGACTTCTCTCTTCTGGATTCCCCACTTCCCCTGGGTGCTGCCCCCTGCAGTCCTCGGCCGTTGGTGCCCTTTACTCCTCCTACCGCCCCCAGAGCCTCGCAGGGTCCTATGGGGTCACCTTCACCCCACCCTCCTCAGCTTTACTGTACACTGGATGCCAGGCTTCTCACGTGAATGTCCATGTGTCTAAAGACCTATGCTCTCCTGAAAAGGGCCCTTCTCAGTCACCAACACTGGCTCCCTTGTGCTCCTCGGAGGTCACAGCCTTCTCTGCATGACACAAAACTCAGAACCATGGGAGCCAAAGCGAGCAGAGGGAATATCTAAGCACATCGGCCTCTCAGCTCTTTGGAAATGTTTTAGTAGAATAATGTGTAAGTTGGGCCCATACAGTAAATAGGGTATAGTAGAGACTGAGCATCCAACCAAACACCACTTTTATATCTGAAATATTCTGCTTCTAGGACCTCGCACAGATAGGAAAGGACTGGAGAGAAGGAATTGGCTTAAGTGAATTTAGCATTGGGCATTATGCCAGGAGCCATCCAATCACCTTCTCTTTAACTTGTAGAGTTCTTGTCATAGAGGCCGCATAAACAGACCTGGCCTCAGCCTCAGAGTGGCAGACGGAATGTCCTGTTGTCCTGCAGGCCTCCCACTCAGATAGAAACATCTCTCCTTTGGTCAGCCTCAATGAGTAGGTGACACAATGGCTTATCTCCCCCTTTGACCTGACGGGGTTTGGGATTACCAAGGGGACTCACTCTTGGGTGTTTTCAGGAAAAGTTAACAGAGGAACACTAAATTTGGATGGTACCATCCCATGAGCTGGGATCTGAAGCTGAATAAATAGGGGGAAATGGAGACAGCAGCTTCCTGTATTAGCACGCCTTTTTCCCCATGGCAGACTGTATCCCCTCCAACCATGAGCCAAAGGATACCCCTTCTGCCTTAAATTGCATGTGTCAAACATTTTGTCACAAAACTGAGAAAAGTCACTAATATATCCATCTTCCAAAAACCCTCTTGGAAGACAACTTTCCAAATGTTTGAATAATTATTTCTTTAGTATCTTTACTTCTAGGAACTTTGTCATAAAATATGGCAGTAAGGGAACCAAACAGATTCCCAAAGATTCGGTATCTATATGCTACCAGGAAGAATGTGCTATGTTTAGGAAAAGTCAACATCTTACTAATTAACACTGTGATACCAATTTTAAGATGTGTCATTGAATAATTGAATTTGTGACTTCACGTTAAGACTTAGGAAATTAAGGTTCATTAAATTTAAGGTTAAATACTGGGAGTGATTTTTGAACATAGTCTTCAGTGAGTAAGGAAGTTCAATTTATTAAATCATAAGAAAATTTGGTAAAGTTAATGCTTCACAGCAAGTAAGGGGGCTCCATGAGTCTAACCAGATCTATGTATATATATTACAACTGTTAGCACATTAGCTTTATGGGAACGCTGAATATGTAAATGAGTGGGTCTCTGGGTCTTGTGCCTTTTCTTGGAGCTCTTTTAATTATCTAGTGCCTTGTCTGTGAAACTTGGATAGGATAGTTTTTGTTTTATCCTATTATATTTTATCTTGCTAGGTTTTGTTTTTATCTCTTAGAAGCCTGTTCTTTTGTAAAAAGAGACAGAAAGAGAGTTGATGTGGGGTGGGAGAAACTGGGAGAGTAGAGGCAGCAGAGTTATAATCAAGGTATGTTGTATGAAACAAGAATCTATTTTCAATAAAAACTACTTTTAAAAAGTGAAAAAAAAATTAATGCTTCCGCATCGTTAGGCTTGTACATGAAGTAACAAGTCCATTAAGGATTTAAAATCCCATTGGTGTACTAACCCTGGCACATGCTGGGCCTGGTGATCGAAGCCATGACAGTACAAGGCAGACTGCTCTTCCAGGGCAGCTAAAACCACTGGCCTGCTAGGAAGCCCTTGCCTGTTCCTGTGTCCCACCCCTGGTCTCACTTCCCCAGCAACTCCTCAGTATCAGTTGTAGTGAGAGGTCCACCCCGCCTGCACCTGTTGCACTGACCACGCCCATCGGGTATGGGCGCAAGTGCTGACGTGACCTGTGGGAGGCTAGGTCTGGGGTGCCGGACCCCAGGACCCCAGCTTGATCTCCTGGTTCCAGTTGGATCATGGAGAGCAGCCTGGGTGTGGATCCTTGGAGTGGGAACTTGAGGGTTATTGGTTTCTCGTGTAAGTAACTTCTCCCCGAATAAAATATATAACCCATATTTTATCCTCATCCCGTGGGTCTCAATCTGTGCATCATCAATCAGTAGGGTCTGGAAGGTCCCTCAAGGACCTGTGTGTTAAGACCTTGTTCCTCAGCATGGCACTATTGGGAGGTGGTGGCAAGTACTTAGAGGTCTTCAGTTATTGGGACAATATGCCAAAGGGTGTCACTGACTCTTTTACTGGCTTTTGGGACCCTGCTCCTAATACTGGATTGCCTTGTCCAGGCTTAATACAAGGCGATGAGCTTAGTCTCACTGCAACATGAGCCATGTTTTGTCCATATCCACAGGAGGCCTGATCTTTTCTGAATAGAAATGAAGGGGTAGTGGATGGGGGAGGGGCAAAAGGGCGGTGGGAGGGAGGGCTGAGAGGAGAGGAGGGAGGGGAAATCGGGGTCAGGATGTAAAATAAATATTTTTAAAAACAAAGCAACAACAACAACAACAAAGTGAGTAAATAAGGATAAACCACTTTGGCTCTAAGAAGTTATTTGTGGCGCTGGAGAGATGCGTAGTAGTTAAGAGCTCCTGCTGCCTTTTGCAGAGATCCAGACTTTGGTCCCCAGCACCTCTACTGGGCAGTTCACAACCACTTATACCCTCAACAAAATAAATGTAAATAAATAAGTTTTTAAAAGTTATTTGCTGGCTGGGCATGGAGGTTCATGTGCTTAACTCCAGCTCTCGGGACACTGAGGCAGAAGGATTTCAAGTTCTAGGCTAGCCTGGGCTATAGAGTAAGAATGTCTAAATAAAAGAAAAATGTCCATGGAGTAGACAGGTGTTCAGAGACATGATCACAGGCAGGTTGTCATCTTCCCCACAGGACATCATGGTCCTACCCAAGTGGCCTAAGACCCAACCAATTCTATATGCATCCTGCACAGAGAGAATTTACACATAGACTGTGATCAGTGAGGTTCCTTATGTTACTGTCATGGGACATCTGGTAAATTCTTTCCACCCTGTTCTGGTCATTTGATGCTGATGTCAAAGGGAGAGCTTTGTTTATTCTTTGAGGCATGGTCTCAGGGTGTAACCTTGGGCTGGCCAGGAACTCACCATGTAGACCAGGCCAGCCGTAAGATTTTGGTAATCCTCCTGCCTCTGCACCATGAGGGCTAGAGTTATAGGCATGCACTCAACTGAAGGAAGGGCTTTTACATATTTCCACCCAGTGCTCCCAAGTCTGATACTTATACTGATAAAAGGCAGTGACTCATAGGTATCACATGTTCCTGTTTGCTGGGCATGTGCCAAATTCTTTCACAAGCTATCTCGCTTCATCCCATAAAAGTGGATATTTATTGTCTCCATTTTATTTCTAAGGAAAACTAGCTAGAGCGAGCTTAGGAAACTTTCTAGAAGCGAGGAGACCAGGTGGAGCCCATACTCTTTGGAACCACAGCAATCTGAAGTGTTTTTCTCTCTTAACCACTTCCCTGTGTGCAGGAGACCTAGCTTCACAGCCGGTTCCAATGATGCAAAATATTCTGTTGTCTTACGGAATCACCACTGCCATGCAACCTTTGTGAAGTGTCACTCTGATGGGTCAGAAACGACCGACCAACAGGCAATAGCACACAGCAAAACGATGGGTCAGAAACCATCGACCATGAGGCAACAATACAGCAAAAGAACCCTGAGATGACTGGGGGGGGGGAGTTGTTATTGTTGTTGGTGGTATTTTGGTGGTGGCTGTGTGTATGCAGTATCTCCCTACACACTAGCACACACACACAAAATTTCATAAAGCACTGCAGATTACAACCAAATCTGAACCTTTCATGCTCTATTTGGATAGCTGCCCTTTCAGACCCAAGCAACTCACCTGTTGAAAATCCCAATAGATATGCTGCCCTCTTTTGGCTGCCTCAGAGCACAGCTCCAATGAGGGGTCCTCCCCATGGCCAGAGTCCGTCAGGCAGTATTGTTCTTGGATGACTTCTTTTGCAATTAGTTCCCCCACGTAGAATTCCCCAGAGAGGAGGTAGTACACATTCTACAAGAGAACAAGGACACTGTGCTGGGCCCAGGCCCAGGGAGACCTCAGCCATTAAACTATATGCTAGAAAGCCTAGCTACAGAGAGGGCTGAGAACATTCTAAAAGTGCCTGGCTTAGGATTAGAGTTCAAGCCCTCTGGAGTCACAGCAGTCTTAAGTATTTTCCCTTCTCACCCACCCTCTGTGTTTAGGAGACCCGACTTCACAGCCAGCTCCAGGGTGGTAGTTTTCTCCCTATCCACTGCCATAGAAACTTGAGGGATTTGGGGAAGACATGCGGATGGGTGGCATAGGCATGGGGAGAGCATGGACATCCTGGGACTCAGGGCTCACTGCCTTTCTTCCCAGCCCTAGGAAAAAGGGCAGACACAAGAAGGGGCAGTCAGCCCACCCTCCTTCCTGTGATGGCCTGGCTATAACATCCCCCCCCCCCAGAGGCTCATAGGTTGGATGGGATGGTTGGTGACCTGCTGTTGGATCCAATCATTGAGAGTTAACTGGGTCCAGGGCATACCAAAATCAATGGATTCATCATCTCCTTGGTGATTCATAAGTTGATGATATTGTAGGGCGGGGTGGGAGAGGCTGGTTGGAGTTGGCTACTGGAAATACGTTCTTAGGAATTGCATTTTGTCCCTGGTCCCTTCCCCATCCTTCCCATGCTATCAACTTGTATACAATGTTCTGCTTTGTCAGAGGCCCACAGCATTGCAAACCATGCAACCACAGACTGGAACCTTGGAGCGAAAATAAATCTTTAGACCCCGAGTTGTTGATCACAGGTATTCTACCACGGCAACAACTAGCTGGTGAACACGGTCCTAAAAGAATCATGGCTTGTATGGATTGTGGGTGGGCCTTGTCTGGATTGTGGGTGGGCCTTGTCTTTGAAGAATCCGTTCAAAGGAAGTTAAGACACCATCAATAGAAACCTAAGTGATGCTGATCACAGGGAAGCAGCAGCCCTCCTTCAAATTCCCAGCCTGATATGTATCTTTCAGTAAGCTTGGATGAGCTTTGTGGCTCATCTTTCCAACTGTTCTGTGGCTATTACCTCTACCAGGTACTCCCTAAAAGTTTTCTGCAAGGACAACATACAAAGTAAAATGAGAGCTGGCAACATTGCCCATATAAAGTCCTTGCCTAGCACACAGGAGGGTCTGGGTATGATCCTTGGCACTGCATAACTGGGTGAGCTGGCAAGCATCTGTAGACTCAGCACTTGGCATGAGGTGGATGGAAGCAGGCAAACCAAGTTAGCAGTTAGCAGCATAGGATATTCTTGTAAATGACCTCCGTTCAGTTCCCAACATCCACATGGTGGTCCACAACCATCTGTAACTCCAGTTACCAGGGATCTTATGACCTCTCCTGGCCTCTGTGGGCACTGGGCACTGGGCACCAGACACTCAGGTAATGCACCTATATGTGTGTAGGCAAAACACTCATACAGATAAAATACTTCTTTAAACATATTTGTAAAGTGAGATAATATATGCATGTATTCTCAATGACAAAGTTCCTAAGCTCACCCTCCACTTGTCATATCTATTCCAACCTGCACAGGGATCTTCCTTCTCCCTCTCCTCCCTAGCCTGCTTCCTTCTGCAGGAACATAATTGGACAAGGCTTGCTTGTCCTATTTCCAAGGCACACATCAGAAGAATGAACAGCAGAGTCACAAGTTTAAGAGGAAAAGAAGTGATGGGAAGACTGCCAATCAAACTGTCACCTGGAGAACGAATGTCATCAGCAGAACCTTCCTGCTTGTTCTCCCTACCTCTGTGGGCCTGCCTGTCACTATTGTACTTTTTGAATAAACAGTGCATGCTTACACATTACCCAGAATGCTCCTCTTCTGCCTCCCCCATCCTCTGGCAGTAAGGAAACTCTAACCTGTGGCACAGATTCTCTGAGCCAGTATGGACCCACTACCTTAGCAGGGACGCCAGTGAACAATACCTGTGTACTGAACCTATGGCAAGGTTCCATTTTGGGAGAGTTGCCTGGAACAGTTCCTCGGTCCAGGCAAACACTTTCGTCCAATGAATTTTTCATCTAAAGGAGAAAACACAACCACACTGTTGAAAAGAATTACAGAAAGAAGGCACCTCAGGCCCTGTAAGTTTTGGTTATACCATGGGATGACAGATAACATTACCAGCAGAGGGCGATCTGATCCAGCCCTGTTCAGAGGAGTGACGTCAACCATGGGCTGAGGAGCTAAGAGGGTCAAGAGAGAGGTGCAGTTTGCAAAGGGACAGAGGTGGAGGAGAAAAGACCTTGAAGTTGAGAAGAAAGAAAGCGCCTCCGGACCAAGAAGTAAGAGTAGCCGTTGAAGGGGGTTTGGACAGGATGGATTTGGGACAACCCCTTGACTGCTTTGTCTTTTTACAATGAAACCATTCAAGCCCAGCACATACTCTTCCATAGCAGACAATGTCGGGGATTGGCTTCAGAAGTGGGTAGATGGTTTTCAGGTACCAGTCAAAGGTTTTGCATTTCAGTTTCTCCTGGAGTGCCTTTCTGGAAGAAATGTCTCCATAGTCGATTCCAGAGTTCTGAAGAGAAAATACAGGTGGTATGTGTTCATTGGAGTTCAAAACACCCTTGAATGCATTGGTTTCTGTGGACTATGTGGGCACTGGCTGTTCCCTTGGAACCTATAGATGGCCTTGAAGATGGAACATGGGGCCTTTCCCCCTCCATCTTCCTCTAGAACAGGGACTCGTGTAGCTGGCTGGCTGTGAACTTGCTCTATAGCTGAGGGTGACCTTGGGTTTCTGACCCTCCTACCTCCACTTCCTAAGGGCTAGGATTATAAGCATCTTTCTTATTATCAAGTGAAGAACATGGAATCTGGAAGGCAGGCATGTTTGAGTTTTGTGTCTATTCCTCACCACCTGCACCAGTGTTATCTTCAAGAATTTCTTTCCAATACTTGGTGCCTGGCCTTCCTCATCCATAAAACACCCTGTGGCTGCACGCTGATGGAAAAAGAACTCATACATGAGCCGGGATGCTGGCTCGGGCCTATATTCCCCTCAGTGAAGCTGAGGCAGGGTTGCCATGAGCTCTATGTCAGCCTGTGATACTGTGAAGACCCCATCTTTAAAACACAAAATAGCCAAAGGAGAAAAATAAATACATCAAGCAGTGTCTGGACACAGTGGTTTACTTCTGTGCAACTGTGGACTGTGGTCCTACTGGGGACCATACCTTAATCCACGAAGCCCCAGAGCTCCTATCCTACCCTACCCTACCCCCCTCTACTAGGACTTTCTCTTCCTTCATTTTTCCCTTCTGTTCAATCCATGACCAACCTCGAGAGGAGTGTTCCAGGCCAAGTAGACCATGTACTTATGTTTGTCCATCCAACTTTCCGCCACTCTCAGGGCGTTCCGCCGCAAGGGAATCCCTGGATCCATGGCATAGGGCTTATGGAATCTCTCCAGGTGAGCTACCCGGGAGCAGGGTAAGATTTCAATCTTCCCTCCGCACTGCCACACCTGCAGGAGAGGGACAGTACCCCTGTCCGTCAATACCAGGCTCCTATAGCCAATGAACTGGAAAGGGATCCCATTTAAGACCCCCTGCTTTTTTCCCTCCCTTCAAGACAGCATTTCTCTGTGTGACAGCTCTGGCTGTCCCGGAACTCACTTTGTAGACCAAGCCTTGAACTCACAGAGATCCGCCTGCCCCTGACTCCCCAGTGCTGGGATTAAAGGCCTATGCCACCACCCTGGGTCTCACCCTGTAGCTCAAGTTGGCCTGGAGCTCACTATTTAGCCCACACTGGCCTCGTTGCAATCTTCCTGCATCAGCTCCTTGAATGCTGGGATCAGGGACATGAACTACCACAGTCAGCTTGGAAAACTTCCTGCTCCCACCTCCATGGCATCTCCCCAAATTCTTACATCAATCCACCTAGTCTGCCAAACAGCTCCTCTCGTGGTGTCAGTCCAACCTCCTTCTGGAAGTCTCCTGAAAGAGGCCCAAAGAAGGGACTTGCCTGCCACTCAGAATGAGGAAGCCCAAGAAGCCAGAACCTCCGTGACCTGAGCCATTCACTAGACAGCTTCCCATAATCCTTTTCTGCTAACATGTCAGACACATATTTGTAGGATGGGCAGATGCCAGAAGCCTCCTTGGTCCCCCCTCCTGGAGTCAGCATCCTCCCCCAACCCTTTCCCTTGCTCATGGGCCTGCTGCCTTCCACCCAACAAACCAGGCAGAGACAGCAGAGTGTTTTGAATATGTGTACGGTTGTGTGAGAAAAAAAAAGCATCCTGCTGGAAGACATAATCTTTCGCTGGCTTTGAAGAAGCAAGCCACTGTGGGATAAGCTACCAAATAGGGAGGAATACATATCCAGAAAGTAAGAGTGGCTTCCAAGTGCCAGTCAGCAAAAACCCCCGAATGTTGCCTCAGTTGGTAAGACTTGACTTTTGCCTCAGCTGACAGGACGTTAAGGTGCTGAACGCTATCAACATCCTGTGACCCTAAAAGCAAACGCTTCCCCAGTCCAGCCTGAGTGAGAGCCCAACACTGACTGGCCATTGGTTTCCAGCCTTGCACAGACTCCTAACCCCAGACGCTATGACTTTATGCATGCATCTTGCTGGGAGACACATGGAAAGATCTTTCCAGGACTTCCTGGCCCGGGTCTGTCATTCCAGCTACCCCAGAGGCTGCCGGAATATCTGAAAGTCAACGCTTATCTGAACTACAGAGTCAGTTCAAGGCTAGCCTGGGCAACTCAGTGGGTCACATCCCAAGGCCGAAAGTAAAAAAAGGCCTGGGAATACAGCTCAGAAGCAATGAGTCCTCAAGGCTTAAGGACAAAGAAAAGAATGCACCCTGCTCTAAGGTATCTGACTTGACCTAATGCTGTCACGCAATGATACAGAACAAACTTGTGATCTGACTGCGAATACTCAGCTCACTCTCTGAACATATGTGCTCATATGTTGTTTAAATGGTATGAGTGTGTCTGGTGTGGGGAAGGGGGGTAGTGTGTGCATGTGAATACAGGTGCCCACAGGAACTAGAAAAGGACATCAGATCCCCTGGAGATCGAGTTAAAAAATCGTGAGCCGCCTGCCATGGGTGCCGAGAACCGAGCTCTGGTCGTCTATAAGCACACTACATGCTCTTAACCACTGAGCCATTTTCCCAACCCTCCCCAAGTAGTTTTGGTGACAATGAATAAAAGAATTTTCTCATCCTTCTAGGCCAATGTCGTATTTCCTGTGTCTTCTCTTCATGGTGACCTCAAAGGGTGGCAATTTCTGGCAAAATCCTGTCAAGTTGCTTCAGTTTAGTTTGGCAGCCTCCCGCACCCTTCCCTGACCCAAGAGCCATACCCTGCCAATTCATTTGGCACAGAAGAAGTGTGTCCACCTGAGGAATGAGTCTTAAGTGACATTAAGGAGCTTTCCTCCTGAACAGTCAAGCTTGGAGTCAGGCTGGCCTGTGTTCACATCCAACTCTGCATCTGTCTGGCTGGACAAAACCCCACCTTCCCTCTGATGATACATGCACAGAGCCAGCCACCATCTCCACCATCTGGGCTGTCGGGACAACTCAAGGACATACCAAGTGCAGCAGCTAGTAGTAAGAAAAGAATAGCTTTTTCTCCAAGTCCATCTCTATCTCCTCTCGTTAGCTCTTGTAGATATTATATCCTAATCTAATTTGTTTCTGGTTTTTCTTTTTTCCATTCAATCATTTAAAACTTAAAATTCAAATACTGGGGCCTGGAGGAAGGGCTCAGTGGTCTAGAGAACTGGTCCCTGTCCCAGATGTCCTAGGTTAGATTCCAAGCACCACATGGCTACTCATTAACTGTAACTCTAATTCCAAGAAGATTTGATGTCCTCTCCTGGCCTCCAGAGGTACTGCATACATGTGGTGCACAGAACAGGCAAAACACCCACATGCATAAAAAAAATTTTTTTTAATTCAAACACAAGGTAAAGTATGTTGGCTCATGCCTATAATCCAAGCACAAGAGACGCAGAGGTAGAAGATCCCCACGAGTTCAAGGCCAGCTTGGACAAAAAGCAAGACTCTGTTCAAAAACAAAACAAAATGAAAATTTACCTTTTATTTCAGGTTTTACAGTTGATGAGATTCATGTAAGTTTAGGAAATTTAAAAAAAAACCCGTAATAATTTGCACAAGAGTCTTTGCATACATATTAAAAATAAAGATTGTTTATAAAATAATAAATTTTATCAATTGTTCTTGCTGAACACTTTTAACTTGGCTATTTCAATGAATTTGTTTATTCATTAGTTTATTTATTTTTAATTAAAATGTAATTATAAGTGTTATGCTTGCACATGCTTGTACAGCTGTGTATACATGTGCAGACCCAAGTTGACCCTGAAAGACTTCCACCGGACCTGAAGCTCATCCACTGAGCTAAGTCTCTGGCCAACAAGCCTTCGGGGTCCCCTTGTCTGCACTACACCTCCTTTCCCAAGACTGGGGTTACAAGCGTGCACCATCATGCTAGGCTTCTTATGTGAGTTTCAGGGACGCTAATGCAAGTCCTCGTGCTGGGTTATTTGCTTATAATATATTATTCCATTCTTTGAAACAGGGTCTTACTCTATAGCCCAGGCTGACCCTTGAACTCCTGGTAATCCTGTCTGAACCTTTTGTGTGCTGGAATTACAGGCACAAACCACCACCTCTGGCTTTACTATCCCAGTGTATTCTCATTTTCCAATCTCTCACCCCTTCCACAGACATGAAGTTCCTGCTCAAAACACCTGTCCTAGTACTTTTTATGATTTAACCCTCACCATGCAGAATACGTGGGAATTAATTTTAATCCTCATTTAATAACTTGTCCATGTTTGTCAGTGAGTATGTGACAGCCATATTATGAGCCCGGCAGTCCACATGTCACTCTCTGACACAATGCCTGTGATACAGGTGCTGCATGAATGCCATGTTCTTTTCTATCCATCATTCCTACACACACACACACACACACACACACACACACACACACACACACACACACACATCCACAGGCACAAATAAAACAGTGAGGAGTCAAGCACTCCATACCACTCTGATATTCTCCAGGTTCTGCTATTAAAGAAAGGCAGATCTGAGGCTGGAGAGATGGCTCTGTGGTTAAGAACACTATCTGCTCTTCCAGAGGTCCTGAGTTCAATTCCCAGCAACCACATGGAGGCTCACAACCATCTGTAATGAGATCTGATGCCCTCTTCTGGCCTGTAGGCATACATGCAGACAGAACACTGTATGCATAATAAATAAATAAATCTTTAAAAAACAGAAGGAAGGAAGGAAGGAAGGAAGGAAGGAAGGAAGGAAGGAAGGAAAGAAGGAAGAGAAACGAAGACAGGCAGATCTTCTTGGGTGGCTACAGGCTACAGGAAAATGACGAGTACATTACCCATCAAGAACATGAAAAATTAAAATCACAAGTTTATGTCACTTCTTCCTGTTAGAATACCTTCTATCAAAAGGACAAAATCAGCAAATGCTGCAAAGGACCAGAAGATAATGGAGCTCTTACACACTCGGATAAGAATGTAAGCTATTAGGACCATCATAGAAAATAATATGCAAGGTCCTTATGGTTATTGGGGAAAAATTTGCCCCCAAAGAGAGTGGTGTTATTAGGAGGTGTGGCCTTGTTAGAGGAAATGTGTCACTGTGGGGTGAGCTTTGAGGTCTTTTGAGCTCAAGCTTCCCTCAGTGAGACAATCAGTCCACTTCCTGTTGCCTCTGAGTCAAGATGTAGCGTTCTCAGCTCCAACACCACATCTGCCTGCATGCCACCATGCTCCCCACTGTGACTATAATGGACTGAACCTCTGAAATTATAAGCAAGTCACACCAATCAGTTTTCTTTTAAAGAATTGCTGTTGTCATGGTGTCTCTTCACAGCAATAAAAATCCTAAGGTACTAGGGACTAGGGTATTGCTGTGACAGGTCTAACCATGATGTTGTTTGGAGCAATATGGACTTTGGTATTTTGGGTTATAAAAGAAGTCATGCTGCATCCAGGGCCATGCAGATCTGGATGGTACGTGCTGCTATCTGATGCTATGGTGATGTCCATGGGATGTGGCTGGGAGCTTGGTCTGGATCTGTAGCTGTATTGGTGATTTTGTGTGTCAACTTCACACAAGCTAGAATCATCAGAGGAAGGAGACTCAGCTGAGGAAATGCCTCCATGAGATCCAGCTGGAAGTCATTTTCTCATTTAGCGATCAATGCCGGAAGGCTCAGCCCAGTACCATCCCTGGGCTGCTGGTCCTGGGTTCTATAATAAGGTGGGCTGAGCAAGCCAGGAGCAGCAAACTAAAAAGCAGCAGTCCTCTATGGTCTCTGTGTCAGCTCCTGCCTCTGGGGTACTGCCCTGTTTGAGTTCTTGTCCTGACTTCCTTTAGTGATAACAGCAATGATAAAATGTAAGCCAAATAAACCTTTCCTCCTCAACTTGCTTTTGGGCCATGGTGCTTTATCTCAGCAAATAGAAACCTAACTAAGACAGTGGCCCTACTATAGCTGGGGTCTGTGTTGATGTCCATGGCTCCTGTTGCCATGAGGTTCATGCAGATCCCCGGAGTCTGGACCGCCATGTGGGGCCATGTTCTTCAATTATCAAAAGCCATGTAGATGCCTGAGATCCAGGGCCATGTTAGTGTCTGAGAACCAGGCTGCCTCTAGGGCTGTGCCCATCTGAGTGTCCTGTAATGCCACCTGAGGCAGTGGTGATATCCAGACCCAGAAGCTACTAAGAACTATGTCTGAGTCTGTGGTTCTACTGTATCTGGGCTCTGTGTTGATGTCTGAGACCTGTATTTCCACCAAAAGTTACATGGGAAGTCCAGAGTTGGGGCCGTAACCTGGGGCCGTGTTGGTGTCTGGAGCCATGCCACTACCAGAGTCGTCCTGATCTGAACGGCCTGTGCTGCTGGATTCAGGATGTTGTCTGAGCCCAAGGGCCATGTCTGAGTCCATGTCCTGCTGCAGCTGGGGTCTGTGTTAATGTCTGTGATCTGTGTCACCTCAGGGAGCCATAGGAACCATATATGATGAAATCAGAGGACCATATTAAGCTAGCTCCACCCTTCACTGGCCCTAGCATAGCTGGTTCTACCCCTTACTGGATGCTACAGCCACAGAGCTGTTTATGGGAAAGGAGATACAACCCCACCAGCTCACAATGAACGAAGGAGAACTGGTCCTGATGGCATGGGCATACGGGAGCTGGCTCCACCCCTCACCTGAGACAGGTGGCCCCAGTGGCCTGTACTGACCAGCTCAACTACCACCCAGGCCCACAGCCAGGCCTGGGGTTGGCCCACCCTAACATCTACACCAGCTAGATGTAGATATTGGAATACTGGAGCTACTAAATCCCATGAAGGGACTGGTCCTGTGGAATCGCCATAACCCAAAGCAGATGCAGAATATCTGAGAGGAGCTCCGATGAGGATCCAGAGATGATGGTGTACCAGAAACCAGGGGCCCTGAACCAGACCAGTGACTCATTGTAATGAATATCCGCAGGTAAAGCTGATTGGATAGTAGAGTATACTGCCTGACACACCTCAACTCCCGATGCCACCAGGATGAATGAAGAGGTGTTGGAGAAGCAGAAAGACAGATTAGTGAGGAGGATTGACTTTTGGGGGGGTTGGAGGGATTGTTGTTGTTTGTTTGCTTGCTTGGTTGGTTTGGTTTTATTTTTTAATTTTCTTTTGGGGGGGCTGTTGAAGTAGTGAGGGGAGGAGATGAAGGGACTGTGAGGTGAGCAGAATTAGGGTGCATGATGTGAAATTCCCGAAGATTCAATAAAGAAATTATGCTTTAAAAAAAGTCTATGATGGGACTAGGTGTAGCTCTGGGTAGAGTGGTTGCCTAGTATGAAGTCCTGGGCTCTATGACAAGAACTGCTATCAGCCAGCATGGTGACCCACAACTGCAACCCTAGCACGAGGCAGGGGATGGAGGATTGCTATGAGTTTAGGGCCAGCCTGATCTACATAGTCAGGCCTATATCATCTAGGAATACACAATGAGATTCTGACTATAAAAAAAAAAAAGAGGAGATTCATGGTTGGTTGAAATCCCAGCATCTTTCAAAGAGGCAGGAGAATCTCCATGAGCTCAGGGCTAACCTTGTCCACATAGTCAAAACCAGTGACACATCTTAACAGTGTACAAAAAGATTATTCCACAACAGCCAGGGATACACAGAGAAACCCTGTCTTGAAAAACAAAACAATTGATCAAACAAACAACTTCAACAACAAATGCCATCTTACTTTGAAAAGCAGAATTCAGCCTTAAAGTTCCCGCTTGAGACTTGGGGAAGCTGAGGCAGAAGGATGCAGTTCCAAAGCCAGACCACACAATTGGAAAAGACCTTGTCTCAAAAAAGGAGTTTGGATTGTACTTCAGTGGTAGGGTGCTTGTCCAGCAAGTCTTTGGACTTGTCTTCCTCAGAGATGGTGTACCCCAATAATTAAAAATGCCCATGATCCTCTGGAGAAAAAGAAATATATTCACAGCCTCAACTGTACCACTGACCACCAAAACTCTCAGATCATATAACACAGGCCTGTACTGGAAAGTTCCTCTCCAGAGTCCTGTTGCCCACCACTTGCTTGTCAGCCTAGGGACCTGGAAATGTGACAGTCTGTCCATCTCATGAGCAATGCACTCAGCTGAGTTCTAGGATTCCAGAATTCCTATGACTCTCCAATATGTCCCACAGAGAAGAAAGCAAGTACGTACCCTCAGGCTAAGTTCCACATTCTCTCCTCCATAGACCAGCATCCCACCATCCAGAGCCCCGATCTCTACCAAGAAGATCCTGTTGGCAGCCAGGATGCCCATGATGGAAGGACTCCTGCAGAGCACATGGCAAGAGGATTACTCATGCCCCTCCAAGAAACTGGTCAGCATGGAGGGGATGACTGGGAAGCCCCACCATGGTCTTCAGAACGCCTAAGTCTCTCCTTATCCCGGAGGCTTTCTGAAACGTTCAGGCTAGATTGAAGATGTGCTCCCTGCGCCATCACCACCCATCACAAATGATACTGGAATGTCCTCTTTTCTCGTAGTCTGATAATGCTCCAAGTTGCCTCAAATACTTTCTAAAATGCTAAATACCTTTGATTTTTGTCTGAAAACCTAGCTAATGCCAAATGTCTATGGTTTCTAATCTGGAGTCAGGCCTTTGGTGTTTTTTTTTGTTTTGTTTTGTTTTCATTGCTATATGTTTTTCTTATCCTCATCTGTTCCTCCGCCTTGCCTCCATTATGATCGCCAAAGGTAGACAAGTCCTGTGCAGTTCATTCTGACTAAGCTCTCCCAGCTTACTCATACTCACTTTATTGGAGCAGTGGCATCACCCGCATCCATCCAGGCTTGTGGTATAGGATCGTACTGGCACCACAGCTTCCAGTCAAACCCAACTGCTGCCAGTTCGTACCTTTCCAGCTCAAACGTATTGAAGTTAATATTGTCAAACACAGGGGACACAACCAAAGTGCGGTCTTCCTGAATCCGAGACAAAATGGGTTCAGCCCTAGAGGAGAATACAGTAAGTACAGCATTGTGGATCAGCCTCAGGCTGGAGCAGACAGAGACATGGTGAACCTCACCCTCACACGGAGGGCATTCTTATTTCAGTTGGTTTGGAACTAAATAAGACTCTCTAGAGTCTAGAGAATTTCTTGGGTTCTGGGTAGCTGGGGCTCCTGGTCACTGAGCCAGGCCAAGAGCAGATTTGAAATTAGTGTCCAGCTATCCCATCCAAGCCATTGTGAATGAGGACTGGCAGTGTTCTACCTGAGTTTACACTATTCCTGTTTCCAAACGATGTCTGTCTTCTGTGTGATTCTCCACATTGCTCATGCAATCTTTACTTCGTGTCATTTAAGAGCTGGGCATACTGGAGGAATTGCCAGCGATTACATTCTGCATTTTAAGGATAAATATACAAGTTTCTAGTATTCAAAATCACAAAATATTTAACAAAGTCAGGGACCGGTCATCAATATTTCAAGCCCTCACCTTTTGTGGGATATTTGATGGCACTATGAAACCCAAGACTGTGTTAATAAAATCAACCTTGGACCAGGGCATGGAGCCAGCATGAAAGGAATTAGCCATAGAGAGTCCAGAGGAGCCAGAAAGACATAGAGATGCACAGGAAGGAGCAGGGAAGGACTTGGAGTTTTGTGGTCTTTTTGGTTTGGGGCTGCAGGAGAGACATTCTCTTGCTGGGCTCTGGCCAAAAAGGAAGGTCAGCTGGTTGCTTCTCAGCCTCTCTGAGCTAGTAGGTGTGGTGATTGGTAATGGTTTATTAAAGCTTGCCTAAGGATTCAGAAAGCAAAGTCAGCCACAAGCCATAGAAGCCAGGCACACACCTTTAATCCCAGCAGCCAGAAACTAGGAAATGGTGATAAACACCTCTAATCCTAGGACTCAGGATTAAGAGATAGACAGATTTCTGAGTCCAAGGCCACCCAGATCTACTCAAGAGTGAATCAGACTAAAAGAGAATTATATCTTACACCTTTAATCCCAACATTAGGGAAGTATAAAAGGCAGAGGCAAGGTCTCAGTATGAGGCATTCATTCCCCAGCCACGCTGAGGAGAGGTCACAGTCTGAGGCTTGATGAGAGCTCGGGGAGACAGAATCAGCCCATTCAGCCTGAGGTAGAGGTAAGAAGCTAGTGGCCAGCTGCTATGTTCTTCTGATATTCAGCTTGAATATCAGATTCTGGGTCATTTATTAGTTCATGTTACAAGCAGGTTTTCACCATAGCATCTGACTCGAGTATTGGTAAATAGAACGATACTTAGTAAAAACTACATTTGGTGGCAGCAGAGGGGCTGGTGCCAGCAGCGGAGTGGCGGGCACCAGTACTGCAGCCTGGGTGCCAGGGCGCTGACTGCAGGGCTCAGACGGTAATTAAAACATCAGTAGATTCAGGTATAGTCACTGAGCCGATGGAAAAGCAACACCCACCCACCTCTTTTCATGGTCTCATCCAGTTCTCTTATAGAGACAATGAGTACAAAAATGAATGTGATACAGAAATTTTACACCGTCCTGTGATGTGCGCAGTGTGCCTAGACTAGCCTTGACTTTGTGACCGTCCTGTCTCTATATCCCAATCATGAGATTAATTATGGTCATGTGTCACCACACCGGGTTTATACTGTCTCTCTATCCAACACGACTCCCCAAATGAAAGCTGTACAACCTGTCTTTGTTCAAGGATGTGGTGTCGGTGTTCCCTGCTCAACACCGTGCTGACTTGCCGAATACAATAGTTTAGTTCTGTCCTTTCCTGAAAGCAGCAGCCTTCCAGAACCTTACCATCCAACGTTCACTTCAATGTGAGCATCCAAGATGGCAACCACATCAGCTGCAGCAGCTTCCAGGCCAGTGTTGCGGGCTTGAGCCAGACCTCTTCTCTCTGTGTGCCTTATAAGTTTCAGAAGGACTGGATGGTTCTGGTTGTGAAGCTTAAGTTTTTCATCCAGCCGTGTCTTCAGTTCTCCTACACAACCATAGAGACACTGAGTGCAAAAATGAGTGTGATACAGAAATTTTACACTGTCCTGGAATAGTGGGTGGGTGATGCCGCTGAAAGGTAAGCAACTCCAGAGCCTTCACTGGGGATGCAGATACCATTTGCCCAGTGCCTACCCCCAGACATTTAGTATCATTCCTTGTTTCCTTTCCCCATCCTTGAATCTCCCTGCTAGGGAGATGCGGACCACTGGTCAAGAGTACACTTTATATACTGAGAAACTCACAGGCAAAGAAACAGGGCAGGCCTGGTTTGATCACTTAAGGTTCTAACACTGGTGGATGAGTTTGCTGAGACAGCCCAGAACGTCACAGCTTATCTGCAAGTCTTCCTAGAGAACCCGAATAAGCAGCTTTGCTTCGTTTTAAATATCCCTGACTGTTCTGATTACATCACAATGAGGACAAATGCTCACACTGATCTTCTATGCCAGCAGTTAGCTGAATCTAGCTGAAGAGTTTACTTTCAATATTATGCAAGCAAGACTCACTCTTCCCAGACTGTTTACAAAGTTTTTTTTTTTTTTCTCCCCTCCCCTCTCTTTTTGTAAAGCCTGTCTCTGCCTTTGCTAAGGCAGGCTACTAGTTGCCTTCTTTGCATATTTGAAAGCAACTTCATCTTTCACACAGATCACCAAGTAGCATGCAAACTAGCTAAGCAAATGACCCAGTTATCCACTGATGACATGTTTTTTGGCTTAGTTGGTTTTTGAGACAGAGTCTTACTCTGTTACCTAGACTAATCTCAAATTCAAAGTAATCTTCCTGCCTTAGCCTCGCAAGGGCTAGTATTACAGGCATCACTGATCATATTACTTACTTAATCATTTACAGAACCCTATAAATGATGGCACTAGAGCCTTTTCCATTTTGCAGATGAAGGGAAACTGAGACATGCGTAGAGCACAAAACTGTCCAAATCAAACATCCATTTAGTGGCACAACTGGACTCCTTTTTTCTTATTTTTAATTTTTTTTTCTTTTTAAGTCATAGTGTCTTAAACCACACACTGGCTCAAGGAACATGTGCACATCGGCTTGACTTTATTAAGCCCACTACCACCTTATTGGTTCCTCTCTCAAAAGATGAATATACACCTGAAACCTTAGGTAGCCAGCTCCTAAAAATCAACACATGGCTATGGCACTAAAATTTGTCTGGTTTTAGTTTTTATCTGTCTGTCTGTCTATTTATTTTTTAGTGGGGTTGCACACACACCACATCACATATGTGGAAGACCGGGAACAGCCTATGGGAGCCAGTTCATTCCTTCTATTGTGGGGTCGCTGGGGAATTAACTCAGGTCACCCAATTTGAAAGCAAGTAACCTTGCCCTCTGAGCCGTCTTGCTGGCCCTGGCCCCATTTTGTAACATTTCCTCCATATGTGCACAGTGGCATGTGCATGCCCACACCTGTTGTTAGCATCCGGGCACAACTTGGCGCCACCCCTTGGGGCACATGGCAAGCAGTACCCTGGCCCTGTATCAGGCACAAAAGGTCCCTTTAAGAGACAGGCTCTGCCCATCCTGCTGTCTCTGATGACCTCTGAAGAGGCAGGCAGGCCTTCTTTCTCTTTTCTTCCCGCCCCCTCCTTTCTCTCACGCCCTTCCCTTCCACCAATAAACCCCTCCACACAAACTCCACACAAACTCGGTCTGTGTTTGTCCCTCACCTGCCATGGGATCTGCCAAGGTCCCCCTCGAGCCATATTATATCAACAGCCCCTCACACAATAACAATAAATAGGATAAGTTAACAAAAATGTAATTTGATTCCAGGCCCAAGAGAGAGCTGCGAGTCATGTGACTGGCAGTTAGGATAACAGGAAGCTTTATCCGGCTTTCCTCATGAACCTGCCCTTGCAGGTGATCTTGTCTGTACGCTCAGCGCTGCTGACCCACTACAGAGTCTTGAATTAAGTTTCCCGCTATGTACCATGGGATTACAGAACTCTTGTGTCCGTGTGGGAAGTGGGTGGATTTTTTGAGATCATCCATCTCAACCTGTGCATCATTTCTGTGAGTCCCAGAGAAGTGAGAGGTCTTGTCCAAGGTTACTCAGACAGCACCAAATGGGGCCTGGGCCTTCAGCTGCCCAGGATGCATGTCTAGCTCTCCCTTTCTCATCAGCAGAACCAGGCTACAAGTTGGTGCCCATCTCCATGACCAGAAATGAACGAAACTAGTTCTCAGTCATGATTTCCAGTAGTATTTTGCTCTATCAATTTATCTTCTCCTTTCTCATTGAATTGGTTATAGCAGTAGAATGGGGATGTGTCTAAATGAAGAGTAGTGTTTTTCAGCAGTGGAGTATTTCACCCCACACCCTCTCTTTCTCTCTTTGCAATGACCTTCAGACTCAATAACCCATCTCATCACTCTCATCCTTAAAGATGCCCATCCTTAAAGATGAGGGAATAAAGACCTACCACTTCATAAGTTCACCCAACTTGAAAATCCTTCCTTATCATCAGCCTGGACCTTTGGGTCTATAATTAAATCTTAGTTTCTTTTTATTTAATACCCAAAATTAGTAGAACTAAGAAAGCAAAATCATGTTAGCTGTCCTTCTTAAGATGATTACAGTAATCAACAACCACATTTTACCTACAAAGAAAATGAATCAAAGAGATGTTATAGTTCGTAGGGATCTATCCTTTAGGGGTTATGAATTTAGAAGGCAAAGACTCAGGCCCACCATGGTGGTGCACCCCAGTAACAAAGCTGGAGAGAAAAGATGGGGCAGAAGGCAACCCAAGCTGCACCTTCATGGTTTGCGTAGCATTCAGGAAACCACAGATTCCATCCTAGCATTGCATGAAATGAACTTTGTGGTATATGTCAGTCATCCCAGCACTCGGGAGATGAAAACAGTGACCAAGCTTTGGACTAGCTTATGTTACATGAAGCCATGTCTTAAACAAAAAAAAAAAGGGGGGGGGAGCAATCAAACAAGTCTATAAATCTACAGTGTGCCATGTGTCCTAATTAGGTAGGCAAAACCTGGGGCTGGGCGGCCAGGGGACAAGACTTGCTGCCATTGTGAGTAATCCCAGGTCCCGAAGATTTCTTTCCTTCAGCCTTCCTTACCTGAGAAGTGTGGCCCTTGCCTTATATAGGAAGGTTCTGAATCCCTTCTTGGAGTCTGAGGGTCAGCTTGGGGTCTCATGCATCTCAACCCTCAGGTCTCCTTTACAGTGCATGCTCAGAGCCCAGGTGATTTTGGAGTCACATGGTTCTGCACCTGACCTCCAAATTCACACTGACCTGCCACACAATGTGGATACCCGATTCTTTTCCTGTGCCTTTGTGTCTTGTGCGTTTGAGATGATGAACTGTACTACTGGCACCATGAAATGTAAATGTGTCCAGCACAAATAGACCCTCCCTAAATTATCCTTTACTTTCCCCTCGGGGAGACCCTCACCATGTCCCAAACTCCCTCCTTCCAGCCAAGCTCAGATGACCAATGGTAATCATGCTTGCTTATCCTTCCCTCAGGAGCCTCACCGTGGGAGCTAAAGTCATCCACAAGGATAATCTCCTTCAGCAGCCGAGGAGGGGTCCGGTTGATAATGCTGGTGATAGCCCTCTGGAGGATGGACAGAGCTTCATTCATGAATATGAGGATGACACTGAGGGATGGGAGCTGGGCAGGGTATGTCTTCTGAAGACACCTGTAAGACACCATTCTTTGGAACACATTACTCTTTAATTATTTAAATATCACTGTCCAGTCTTCCTCTTCAGTGTATATGGCATTCTATTCATCAACTCACTAAACCTCAAACTCAGTGGGTGAAGGATAATCTCAGGTCTTTGTCCAAGAAGCAAAAAAGGTTTTTATCTATTTGTTCACTTTTTTTTTCCTGCTTACACAGAGGAAGCCCATCTCCGTTTCACTCATCTACAGACATGTTGTATAGCAGACGCCTTGAAGACATTCCTCTATTTAACTATGGCTTCAAATCTATCAACCAAGCCATCATTTAAAAACATAATTATTGAGAAATAATGTACATGCAATAGAGTTCACCTATTTAAGAGCATGTAATTCCCCTAACTTTGTCAGTCACAGAGTGGAGTAATGATTAGCATTAACTTAGTGGGGGTGAGGGGATGTATGTGGAGATCAGAGGTCAATGTCAAGTGCCTTCCTCAATTGCTTTCAACCTTATTTTGTTGATACAGGAATTCTCATTAAACATGCATCGTTTCAATTAGGCTAAGATGGATGGCCATGGAAACTCCATCTGCATCCACCTGCTGCCAGCCCTGGATGACAGATATGCTGGGCCTCTGAACTCAGGTCCCCATATTCGTGAAGCAACCATTTTACTCACCACACCATCTCCTCAACCTCTAATTATAGAAAAAAAATTATCATGTATAAAGAAAGCCTAAAACATTACCAGTTATTTGCTATTTCTCTCCAACCCATCTGTCTATGTCCCCTCAGCCATAGGCATACACTAATTGAATTTCCATTTTTATAGACTTACCTGCCCTGGAGCTTTCATGCAAATGAAAAACAAGTTATATATTCTATTGGGCATAATATTTTCATCAGTGTTGCAGCAGGTACCAATAGCTTTCCTTTTGTGGTCAATTAACATTGTACCAAAGAGAGCTAGCATATACTGCTTATCCATTTGCCAGCAGATGGATATCAAAGATATTTAGGATGTTTTTGCTTTGGGGCAATGATAACAGTAATTAGAGGAGCATTCTTTTATTTAGATTGTATTTTATTTATTTATTTTTTTACATTCTAATCCCAGTTCTTACTCCCTCCTCTTCTCCTGCTTCCCCCCACCCCATCTCCCATCTGCTCCTCAGAGAGGTAAGGCCTCCCCTAGGAAGTCTACTAAGTCTGTTGCATCATCTCTGTGGCAGGACCAAGCCCTCCCACCCAACCCCCATCCCCTGCCTAAGCGGCCTGTGCATTAGTGTTAGATCTTGGACCCACTGCCAGTGGCCTCATATATTGTCCCAGTCACACCACTGTCACCTATATTAAGGGAGTCTAGTTCAGTCTTACGCAGGTTCCCCCTTTGTCAGACCTGAGTCAGGGGTCTCTCACTAGCTCGGGTCAGCTGATTCTGTGGGTTTGCCCATCATGGCCTTGACTCCTTTGTTCATATCATCACTCCTCCCTCACTTCGATTGTACTCCAAAGAGTTCGGCTCAGTGTTAGTTGTGGATTTCTGCATCTGCTTCCATCTGTTTCTGAGAGAGGGTTCTAGCTTCTCTGGGATTGTGAATTGTAGGCTGGGTATCTTTTGTTTTACGTCTTGTATCCACTTATGAATGAGTACATAATAAATTTATCTTTCTGGGTTTGGGTTCCTCACTCAGGATTTTTTTTTCTCATTCTACCACATTTTCTCTACTCATTCTTCTGTTGAGGGACATCTAGACCATTTCCAAGATCTGGCTATTACAAATAATGTTGCTATGGACATAGTTGAGCAAATGTCCTTGTGGCGTGAATGTGCCTCCTTTGTGTATATGCCCAAAATGGTATTGCAGGGTCTTGAGGTAGATTGATTCCTAATTTTCTGAGAAATCGCCATACTGATTTCCATAGCGGCTGTATTGGTTTGTACTCCCACTGCAATGGAGGAGTGTTTCCCTTTTCCACATCCTTTCCCACAGAGTTGTCATTGGTGTTTTTGATCTTAGACATTCTGATCAGTGAAAGATGGTATCTCAGAGTTGTTTTGATTTGCATTCCCCTGATGACTAAGGATGTTGAGCATTTCCTTAAATGTCTCTGCCATTTAAGATTGGTATGTTGAGAATTCTCTGTTTAGATCTGTAACCCATTTTTAATTGGATTATTTGGTAGTTTGATGTCTAGCTTCTTGAGTTCTTTGTATATTTTGGAGATCAGCCTTCTGTCAGGTGTGGGGTTGGTGAAGATCTTTTCCCATTCTGTAGGCAATCATTTTTTCTTATTGGCCATGTTCTTTGCTTTACAGAAGCTTCTTTGTTTCGGGAGGTCCCATTTATTAATTTTGCTCCCAGTATCTTTGCTACTGGTATTCTATTTAGGAAGTGGTCTCCTATGCCCATGCATTCAAGGCTACTTCCCACTTTTACTTCTATGAGGTTCAGTGTGGATGGATTTATATTGAGGTCTTTGGTGCATTTGGACTTGAGTTTTGTGCATGGGGATAAAAATGGGTCTATTTGCATTCTTCTACATATCAACATCCAGTTGTGCCAGCACCATTTGTTGAATATGCTTTCTTTTTTACATTTTTAGCTTCTTTGTCAAAAATTAGGTGTTCATAGGTGTGTAGAGCAACATTCTTAAGCAAGCTTCTTTTAAAATTATTTTTAATTTATGTGTATGGGTGTTTGCCTACATATATACGTATTGTGCCATATGCATGCAGTGCCTTTGGAGGCAGCAGGAGGGCATCAGATTCTTTGGAAATGGATTTACAGATGTTTGTGAGCCTCAGCATAGGCAGTGAGAACAGAACCTTAGTCCTTTGTAAGATCAGCAAGTGTTCTTAACTGCTGAGCCATTTCTCCAGCCCTTGAACTTTGCCAGCATGCTTTCATTTCTCTTTCTTAAAATGATTCAGTCTATGAAAGACCACATATACAAACATGGTTGCTAAAGCTTTATGTTGCCCAATGATGTCTCAGCTGTCTTGGTTTGTGTAAACACACCCTATAACGTTTGTACTATGACAAAAAAATGACTTAATAGTACATTCCTCTGAACTCAGCCTATAACTAAGTGACACATGACTTTAATCCGAGTCACCAAAGTAAATTGGGAATGTGGAGGTTGAAGGGGTGAGTGTAAAGATTTCAAAACTACAATCTGAAGAAATTATAGCATATGACTTTTCTTTTTAAGCCTGGCATCCTAGAAGTTGACCTGGATCAGAGTGACTTACTGTTTACACTGTTCAGAAGTTGGGATGATGGCCTGGGTGACAAGAGGCTTCAGCTGCCCTTTGATGAATCTGTGTGTAGGCTGAGGAATGGTGATCAGCCTTTCTTGCCTGCTCATCTGGTTGTTGCTGGGTGGGTCCAGCCCAGTGCTCACACACAGGCGTGAGATCCCAGGGGGCTCTTCTTGGCTGTATTGTCCTAGCTTCTGTTAGATTTCTGAATGTTCCACCTTCGTGCACAATACTACCTATAATATGAGCCATGAGTTTCCTCTTAAATATTCTCCACCAAGAATGCATGGATAAGCAGGCATGGTGGTATCATGCCTTTAATTCCAGCACTGGGAAAGCAAAAACAAGTGGGTCTCTGTGAGTTTCAGGACAGCCAGAGCTACATAGTGAGACCCTAAATTAAAAACTGTTTCAAATGAGACCAGTTCCTTAAAAAGAGCAGGGAAGGTTTTCACTGGGAATTCCATGCTGGACAGAGCTTCTGCACTGGGCTTCAGGGTCTGAGGGTGCAGACAGCAGCTCACTTGCCCTGATCCAGTTACACACTGTTCTGCAAGCAGACACAAGGGACAGGAGGGTAGGAAGGAGGCAGCAGCCCTTGGGCTCCCCGACTTTACCATTCCAGTACAGAACTCCCTCTGTGTAAGCAAACTGGGCAAAGGCAGCTGGAAGCCAGCATTCTTGGTCTGGTGCAGTTGGAGTTAAAACTCTATCCTCAGAGCAGGTGTGAGGTGAAGGAGGAGGCAGAGCTGAGGAGGTTGTGGGAGTCAGGGTTGCCTCAGCCACCTCTGTAGGTAGAGGACTTGCATCTCAATGAGGGGGATGGGGAGGTGTGATGTGTTTTTAGTTGGTTTGCCCTTCCCAGGGCTGAAACTGCAGCCCAAGGTAAATACAGTGGCAAGAGGCCCCTTGACCACTCCTACCCAGAATAAAGAACTTGGCATAGAATATCATTCTCCAGAACTGGGGGGGGGGGGGGCAAACAATGGCTCACGGGACACAGCCTCCCACTGAGCCTTGTTGAGACATTCTTCACTTGCTGTGTATCCTCAAGATGATTTCTGGAAATGCTGCCTGGCACATGGCTTTCTCCAGTCAGATGGTTGTTTTGTTGGAGGGGAGAGATGTTTCAGCATTCTGCCACTCTGGTAGGAAATCTCAATCCATACTTAAAAGAAAAATGAAAGTGGTCGTCAATTTAGTTTTACTTAGCCACATTTGTGAAGCCTTTGTATTAAGAACTTCTCTCACTGATCTGACAAAGTAAGAGGCAACTTAAGGGGAAAAGGTTCAAGAGGGTACAATCCATCATGGCAGGGAAGGGTTGACAGCTGGGACAAGTAACCGGGGCTCCCACATGCCACACACAGATCAGGAAGCTGAGGAGACTGTGCTACTGGCACTGCTGGCTTTCTCCCCCTAGAAACCAGCTCAGAGAAGAAAAACAGGGAGGGAGGGAGGGAGGGAGGGAGGGAGGGAGGGAGGGAGGGAGGGAGGGAGGGAGGGAGGGAGAGAGGTTGCAGTTCAGTAGAAAAAGAATGCATCCAAATAGACACTTCTGAATGAAAAAAAAAAAAGACATGCAAATGGATAAGAACATAAAAAGGTGTTCATCAGTAGACCTCAAATTTTTAAATAAATAAATAAATAAAACACAACGAGATCCCATCTCACAACCAGCAGTGTAAGGATTCAGCCATGCTGGCCTGCCCCTGTCACCTGGGAGAATGCACTCAGGCAGTACTCTGGTCAGCCCAGGGTTCCATGAGTACTAGTCTGCAGCCAGGCTTTCAAAAGGCTAAATACAGAGTTACATATGGACCTAGCAACTCTACTTCAAGCATCCACAAAAGGAAGACGTTCGTTTGTTCTCATACAAACTTGCACATGAAACAGCCCTTCTTTGAAAAACCCACACCCATGTTTCTGGGTGTGTCTCCTCCCTTTTGAACACCTCTCCCTCCCCTCACCTTTGTGGTTAACATGTCTGTATCAAACCCCAATTCAGCACCATTAAAAAAGCAAAATAGGATGGCATTAATCACAGTAGCCCACACCTGGAAACAACAGAACAGCCATCAGCTAATTACTAAAAGCAAAGTGCCACATATCAATATAAAGGGGAAATATTGGTTCACATTATTAGCTATTAAGTGGATAGTACTTTGGACACACTATAAAAAATGAAAGCACACACACACACACACACACACACACACACACACACACGTATACATGATTCCATGCTAAGAAAAGTCCAGAACAGACAAATCCATAGAGATGAGGAAGCTGAGGGGGAAATGAACCGTGAAGAGTACAGGGATTCTTTATGAGATCAAAATGTTTTCAGATTGTGCGGCTTGTGCACAACTCTGAACATACTAAGAACCATTGCTGGACATAGAGGTTCATACCTGTAATACTAGCACACTAGTGGTAAAGGGGATCTCCAAAAGCTGCAGGTCAGCCTCAACTATGTAAGGAGACCTGTCCCCATTAATTCATTATTTAGAATAGAAGCCACTTATTTGTATCTGTCAGCAAATCTATACACCTCTAATCCCAGTGCACAGAGGGCTAAAATGAGAAGATCAGGAGTTCAAAATCATCCTCAGCCACAGAGAATTTGAGATCCGCTTGGGATATATAAGATGTGTCTCAAAAAACAACAAGAACAACAACAACAAAGAGTGTTTTTTGTTTGTTTTGTTGCTGAGATTTTGTTTTGGGGTGGGGGGGGGCATAAAGAGCTAGAGCAATGGAGAGGGAAAATGGGGGCGGGCTGCACCCAGGACAGACTCTACACATAGATTCAGTAAGGAACAGGAGGACCCAAGCAGAGAATGAGGAAAAGCCAGAGCTCTGCCCTGGGGTCTTTGTTTGGGAGAGGATTAGTCCCATGCTGTGGGATCTCTTCCTGGGTGTCCTCTCCCTCTCTCCAGGGAGCTAGAGCATTTGAATTAGTCCATTCCTTTCTCTGATGTGCCATCATAAAAAATTAAAAACAAGAGGCCAGGCAGGCATGATGGGAGGGCACACTGTAATGGAGCCCTGAGAGAGCTGAGGCAAGAGGATGTCTAGTTTGGGGCCAGCCCTGCCTACGTGGTAAGAACTTACCTCCAAACAACAAAACTAAACTAAACACATCAAGAAAGAAGTCTGCTCATCCCCTTCCCCACAGGCCTCCGCCCCTCACCGGACTTTCTACTCCTTCACTTGCACGAGGCAAAGTTCATCACCAAACTACACTGAGGTCCGGCAAAGCCACCCCTGGTCCAGAGCACCTGGCATGGCGGGTGTCAGGGATGCTTCGGTTATAAGGCAAGTGGTCACTGAGGAACACGTTGTAACCGAACTCCAGGAACAAGTACTGAGCCTCTTTCTGCTGTGCCTCGGAGAGTTCCTTCCCCCGTTGCTGGAAGAGCTTCTTGAGCGCCAACCTGGCTTTCACTCCTTTCCAACCGGGGTGGAATTCAGCATTTCCCCATCCCATGTGGCCTTGTTGCTTCATAATCAGTTTCAGACTCTCTCCTGCAAATAAAGAGGACGGGGTGGTGTGAAGACATTTCAGCCCATCCTTAGGGAAGTGGGCACTGCTTTCCAACCTAACTTCCTCTGGACCGTTTTCTCTCTGCTACACTTTGCACCTGCAATGTTCCTGCAAGAGGCTCGGGGTTCTGAGGCATGGTCGTCTTCTCCAGTGCATTAGAAGGGTGGAGACTTCAAGAGATAAGCTTAATTAAGCATCTTCCAAGTGTATGGGGACTGCCCTTCAATGGGGCACTGGAGACCTGGCCAGTGTTTCTTTTGCTTCTCACTTTCTTGCCGTTATCTGCTTCCTTCACGGGCACCACAACATGGTGTACTGCTTCATCTGAAGCTCAAAGCAACCGTGCCAACCAATATTGCCAATCAACCATGAACTAGACTTCCAAAGTGCCGAGCGAATATACAACCTTTCTTTTTATAACCAGATGGGCTCAAGAATCTGTCACACTATAGAAAGTTGATTGGCATATTCTCCAAACATTAGACCTTATAAGCTCTTGTCCCCGGGAAGATGATTGGTAAAGAAAGAGTCCTTGTCAAAGCTGTTCAAGACTTCACTAGATGACATAGCTTCCCTCTTCAGCACCATCAAAACCTACCCACATCTCACCTGAATTTGATCTCAGAAATGACTCATAATAAGACTATTTTTCAGAATGATACCTGAGAGTCACATAAGAAATATCAATGATTGATTTTCTTGTTTTGGGGCATGTGTATTTAATGTAGAAATTCCCCAAATCTATCAAATCAGAATCCCAGGGCCAGGTAAGGGGACAGACAGACAGAAGGTACTAGAATGTTCACTTGTTTCACAAACATCACGCTATTAGTAGCTAGCAAAGACATTTTAGAGTGTCTAATCAACCACCCATCCCCTCACATCTCACATGGTTGATAATATCAGGAACTTTTAAGCTAGGGATGAATTAGGCCTACATTTCTAGTTTGTTTGATTATAATATTATCTTCAGGTGCTCATGGAAAATGCAGGATCCCAGGCCTTTCCTAGACACACTGATCCATTGGTCTGGGATACAGTATAGAAGCGGTTCAATTGGTTTAGCTTGGTTTGTTTTCCACAGTTGCTCCTGATAATAGCCACACTCATTTGAGAATCATGATCTTAACCGAACATAATGATCAGATGGTGATACAGGTAGAGAAATGTCCACACAGAGGAGGCCTAAAGGGCACAGTAGATCAATAATAGCAATGATGCATCCCATTCAGAAAGTGGCCTGCAGACTCCACCGCTTCCTCCACCCCTGTTAACTTCCCCCTGACAACCCCAAAGGGAGGGAGGAATGAAGAGAGAGAGACCTTGAGACAATGGGGACGAAGGCTTCCCACCATAGAACCACTTGCCCCTCCCCCAGCTCACTTTAAATTCCAACCAGACTGGCAGGACCCCTTTACCCCATCCAGAATCTTCTTTGTGTGTTAGACAGAAGTATAGTTCTCCTGGATGACTGCAGCCCAGGCTTCCCAGCCCAGCAAGGCACCATCCCTCTGCATGGCTCCTCCAAGACACAAGCCCATCCCCTGCACCACAGCACATGGCTTGTTGAGCATGTGTGTGTTTGAGTCCAGAGGCATGCATAGCCCTCCAAGATGGCAACAGGAAAGGCTACAACTGGGAGGCGAATGTGTACAGGGGATGACATAAGATGGGCTCAAGGAGACAAGGGGGAGCACATGGTCTCCAGTCTGATACCTGGGAAACCATAAGACCGACCCAGACCCCCTGAATGTGGTGTTAGTGAGGAGGACTATGCAGTCTATGAGTCCTCTGGTAGTGGATCAGTATTTATCCCTAGTATACGAATGGACTTTGGGAGCCCATTCCACATAGAGGGGTACTCTCTCAGCCTAGACACACAGGGAGGGCCTGGGCCCTGCCCCAAATGATGTGACAGACTCTGATGATCCCCCATGGAAGACATCATCCTCCCTGGAGAGCAGAAAGGGGATGAGAAGGGAGTTGGGGGGGGGCAGGGGAGGTTGGGAGGGTCTGGAAACTGGGGTTGACATGCAAAACAAGCTTGCTTCAAATTTAAATAAATATATACATACATACACACATTTACATATACATACATACTTCAAGGAGAAGAAATGAACAGTAAGAGATATGCTCAAGATAAAAAACCTGGGGGGAAGATAGTGTTTGGTCTTTTAAAGGAGACTGTAAATGCCCTGCATGCTTGCTCAGGTGGAGAAGAAAAGTGAGAACTTGGTGCAGAGTGTCCCAATCAAATTCCACTACTATTCATACTGTCCCATACCAAGCACATGTTTACACAATGGTGCTGAGTGTCCCAATCAAATTCCATTATCATTCATACTGTCCCATAGCAAGCACATACTTACACAATGGTGCTGTGTCCCAATCTAATTCCACTACTATTCATACTGTTCCATAGCAAGCACATACTTACACAATGGTGCAGAGTGTCCCAATCGAATTCCACTACTATTCATACTGTCCCATACCAAGCACATGTTTACACAATGGTGCTGAGTGTCCCAATCGAATTCTACTACTATTCATACTGTTCCATAGCAAGCACATACTTACACAATGGTGCTGAGTGTCCCAATACAATCCCACTATTATTTGTACTGTTTCACACCAAGCACATGCTGACACAATAGTTCCTGTTTCCCCTGGCCTCAGAACCCATCTCTGAATCTTTTTATTTGGTTAATTAATTTGTGTGTCTTTGAGAACACACACGAGCCACCCCTCTCCTTCACTCTGACCGATGATAAATGCTCAGGTCTCATTTTATTTATTTGCTTCCTTGTTTGTTTATAAGAAGAGTCTCCTATATCCTCTGCCGTGTTGTCTATGGTGACTTTGAACTCTTGACCACAAGTATATGGCACCTTGTCTGGTTGTCATGTCTCCATCTTTTTAAAAGAAAGACACTTTTCCTGGACATGACAGCACATATTTATAATCCCAGCACTCTGAACATTAAAGCAGGAGGGCTGTAAGCTGCATGTCAATAACAATAACGGCACTGTCCTTAGTTCTGGCTCCACACTGGTACCTCCCCCCCCCCCAGGACCACACTCCTAATCTGGGTTTACACAGTCAATGCCTCCTTTAAAGGATCAAGCACTTGATTCCCAGATGCAGGCAGCAGAGACACAGAATCACAAACTATCCCAAAGCACTTTGAAACCTTACCCTGAAGTTTAAATAAATAAGCTAAATTTGAACATATATCAGTCATGTATGGTGGTGCGCACTATAATCCCAGAACCAGGAGGCTGAGGCAGGAAGATGGCAAGTTCCCGGACAGACATGGCTACATGGAGACTCCCAGACCACCGTGAGCTATAAAGCAAGATCTGGTGTCAAAAAAGGAGGTGGGGTTGGGGGTGGAGGTTCATATTACTTTCTGTGTACCCCCTTTGAGGGTCACTGTCACAGTCTTCACTTGCTCAGAGTCGCACACCATATGTCCATATTAGATCCTTGGCCCTCTAATAAGTCCACTATATAAGCATGATAAGAACTCTGCAAAATGAATATCTTTGCCTTAGATGGCCCTTCTCTCAACATTCCCACTGTTATATTATTTTGGGATCACAACCTGTACCCCAAAGTCAGATCCTCAACGAGCCAATTAAAAGCGGAAAAAGGAGACTTATTCAACATAGCTAAGTTGGCAAGAGAAACAAAGAGATCTAGGGGAACCTCCCCCAACCCCCGCTGTCAATCAATTTTCTGTGTCCTGAAGTCAGATAAAGTTTAAGTAGAGGTCCAACAACATGCACATCTAAGCTGTCGATTGTCAAGATGTTGTTGCCACCCACCGCTAACCCATTCTTGTCTGGGCTCCAGTCTCATCTGTATTGGTGATATGACAAGTTATTAAAACCGTGTGAAATCTTTCCCAAGATACCCCTCTGGCTGATACCCTTACCTTCTCCCAGCATGAGATTCCTGGGGGAAATTCCCTTTTCTTTGGAGTCCATTGTCCAACAGTGTATCGTCAGATTGAAGACTTGGCCTCTACCTTGGTTTTTTTCCTCCATGCCCCCCCTTTTTAAGTTCTTGAAGCTCCTTCAGCCTGCACCCCCTAGAGTTTCCCTTCCCAATGGGTGTAGAACTTACCTGAGCGGTGCACATTGTTCTCCAGGGCCACCACAGAGTCCTCCTTGTGGAGGCTGCCCACAACCCAGTTGTGTATGGTCCTCTTGCTGTAAAGCACCAGCAGGATGTTGGCTGCGACCAGAGTGAGCACAGTGCACAGGGACTTGGAGCAGTTCCTCCTCCACAGCCTCATCATAAGCCTGGGGAGCCTCACTTGCTCCCTGTGGCTAACCAGGCAAACCCAGGAGCAGAGCCCACCAGCCAGGCTGTCTCAGCTGGGTGGCAGCCTAAAGATGACACCCTACCTGCTAAGCCTATGTTCTCTGGCTGGAAAAGCTGTCACAAGCTGCCTGGTTTGTCTCTAAAGAGTGTCAGGCTTGGGCAATGGACCAGGGCAGCCACCCAACAATTTCGAGATCACTTGGATGCACTCGGCATCATCTAAGAAGTCAGGGGCATGGCAGTGGCTCCTCAAATTGCCTAGGGGAAAGCCCTTCTTCCATTGGACTTTAGGGTTCTGCCTATCAAGTACAAGGATTAGGTAGTGAGCCATCATGTCTGGTTAATGTTTTGTTTGCCATGGCCTCTTCCTGTGAAGTATGCAGATGAGCTAACTATTTTGGGCAATTAAACAGGGGTTGGGTAGATTAATTTAAAGTGAGGTTTCTACTTTTCACCTGAAATGGCAAATTGAAGAAGCCAGTAGTCAGTCAGAGATGAATTATATGCAAATGGCGATGAGAGAATCATGAAGTATCTTAATTGCAGCTGTTGGTCACTGGAATCTATAGGTGACACATGGCATAGAAATATGTACAGTGTTTGTGTTAATGGTTGTAAAAATATATCCTCTGGGTTGGCAAGATGGCTCAGCCAGTAAAGGCACTAGCCACCAAACCCGATAACCCTAAATGAATTCCTGAAACCTACAAGACAGAAGGAGATTATGGATTCTCACAGGTTGTCCTCAGACCTCCACACACCGTGGCATGGGCGCTCGCAGACACACCCACTGCAGGAAACAGGGTAACAGGAGACCAAAATATGTCACACTGTCTTTGCAAAGTTTTTTGATCCTCTCAATACCTCAAAATTTAAAAACTTCAGAAAGCATGATCCCTCTTCTGCACAAACTGACCACTAAGCCATGTAAGAACATTTCCTAAACCCTTTACTAAAAACACGCAACCAAACATATGCTGATCGCCTTCGGGAGGTGGTGGATGCTGGCAAGCTGAGGAATAGATGTGGGAACGAGAGTGGTGTTCACAGTACAACATTTACGATTTTGTATCATGTGCATGAATTATGCATGAACAACAAATTGGTAGAAATGACTTTAGAACAGGAATTGTTTGTTGGTTTCTGCAGTAGTTCACCTGGATAAAAAGATAACTAGATTGCTTTCATTTCTTCTTCTTTTTTTTTTTTTTTTTCTTTATGCTTTTGTTTTATGGCTGTTTCGCTTTGTTTTCAGGGATCTCACACGGCGCTGGCTGACCTTGACCTCACTGTATAGTCCGGGATGACTTTGAACCTCACACCCTTCTGTCTCCAGCTCCCAGGTGCTAGGATTACAAGTGTGGGCTTGCATTCCCAGCACACGTGATGCATTCTCTGTAGCCCTTGCACCTGCTGTTGTCCACAACGAGAGCAGAGGGCTTCTTGGGAAGGAGAGGTGTGGGTGGCTTTCTAGAAAAACTAGGTGTTCTCATATGCATCCCATCAACACCCAGAATGCTCAGGCAGTGGTTCTCCAATGATGATGTGGCAGGAATCATCTGGACTACTTGGTAAAAATGCCGATTTAAGGGCTGGAGGGGTGACTCAGAGGGTAAGAGCATTGGCTATTCCTCCAGCAACCACATGGTGGCTCTCAACCACCTTTAATGAGTGCCCTCTTCTGGTGTGCAGGCAGAACACTGTATACATAATACATAAAATCTTTTTTTTTTAAATGCAGATTTCTAGGTTCCTCCTGACAATTTTAACTCTATCTCTAGTGTGAGATTCTGACACCTTTATGTTAACAAATGCCCCATACCAATGCCTTCCCTGGCTGTGCTCACAAATCCATGTAGACTGAATTTCATCAGTCAATGTGCTTACAATCCTGTAGTGTCCCCTGTAGAGCCAAGGGCCACAGAGGGAAAGGGGGGCCTGAGTGTGTGATAGCTTCAAAGACATGCAAGTTTCAGTTGCTCTAGCAAAACAAGCATGTGTAAGGAAAGTTACTGGGGCAAGAGACTGCACACACATCATTTCATGAAGAATAAATCGTCAGTGAAGATTAGAATGGCATGATGGAGGCCGGGGAAAAAATGAGATGTTCTTACCTCATATGCATTTATAATGCATAAGCATCATAGTTGCCATTGCCATTTTCTCTGTCTTAGATACTTTTCTATTGCTGTGATAACACACGACAAAGGCAACTTATAAAAGAAACCATTTGATTTTGGCTTTGGGCTTCAAAGGTTTAGAGTCCATGATGGCAGGGCAAAAACAAAACAAAACAAAACAAAAACAAACAAAAGCTGAGGGTTCACATTCTGATTCATAACTGTGAGGCAGAGAAAGCACTGGGAATCCCAGGAGTCTTTTGAAACTTCAAAACCCAACCCCTAAAGACACACCTGTGCAACAAGCCACGCCTCCAGTCCTTCCCAAACAGTTCCACCAACTGGAAACAAGATACTCAAAATCCTATGGGAACCATTAGCATTCAAATCACCATAGTCACCACCACCACCACCATCATCCCTATACATCACAACCAGAAGAGAATAATTAAATATTGTGTAGTGTTTGATGGGTTAGATTCAATTAGATTACCACAGGCCCTGGGAGGAGAGTTTTGGGGGCAAGTATGGATGGTAGTTTAAGAGAGTGAGTTCATTACTCACTAGTCAGGAAGACCAAGGCAAGCTAGCTCACCTCTCTGAACTTTATTATTCTTATATGGAAAATGAGGGTTTATAAGACTGGGGCTGGAGGTGTCACTCATATTTGCCAAGCCTGGGTCTGCTTCAGCAAACAAACAGGCAAACAAGCTAGGCAGGATGAGTTTTTCCCTGAATCTGGGCACTCATGAGCCTGAAGCAGGAGGATTGCCACAAGTTTGGGGTTATCTTGGACTACACAGTGAAACTTTGTCTCAAAACAAACAAACAAAGCAACAGTCTCCTTTGCAGTGTGGTTCTGGGAGGGCAGGCAGCCTTGTAAAGGGCCCAGCATTATTTAGTAAACATAAGATATTGTTGTCACTGTGGTGTTCACTTTTAAAAAGAAGAACTTTTGAAAGCCAAACTGTGATACCGAAAGCTGCTCATAATAAAATGCTGGCTAGGGACAGGGACCTCAACGGATGACCAAGCAATCAGTCGTGCACAAGGCCTTGGGTTCCATTCTGCAATAACTGACAATTCAAAACAAAATTATAATAGGGAGATGTGGGAGGTTAGAATATGATTAGAGACACCTGTAGTTGAATTTTTTAACTCTTTGAGGGACTGCTCCCAAATAAACACATGGAGTCTAATTCTTACTTACGAATCCTTGACCTTAGCTTGGCTCATTTCTAGCCAGCTTTACTACATTAAATTATCCCATTTCTCTTTGACTACAGTTTGCCCCTGGGCTTTTTACCCTTCTTTATTCTGTATGTCTTTCTTTCTTACTTACTCTGTGGCCGGCTGTGTGGCTGGTCTCTGGTGTCTTCCTCTCCTCCATTTCTCAGGCCTCCATCTTCTTTTCTTGAGCCTAGATTTCTCCTCCTGTTTATTCTCTCTGCCTGGCAGCTCCACCTATTCCTCTCTTGTATTTTGATGGTAGTTTTAGCCAGGAGAGGCAACAGCAGACAGTATGACTCAAAAAGGAAATCCTAAGGTAAGTACACTTGCTGGCAAGAGAATTTCCAGGTTCAATTGCAGCTTAAGGGCTCTCTCTCTCTCCTGCAGAAGTCACCGGGCTCAGTCATATGTCTCCACCATGGCAACAAAAGGGAACGAATTGTTACACAGAACTGGATTGTATCCCAACCAGATGTGTTTGTAGACACTGTGCAAATTAAGTAAGTCAGTAGTGCAGCTACAGCCAGAATGTTTGATACCTACTAACTTTGGAAAGTGTATCAGCCCAGAGTGCCTACAAGAAGAAAATGTCCCAAAGAAAAACATTCATCTGGAAAACAGATCAATATAGACTACAGAATAAGGCAACAGAAGAGAGCAGAACGTGGGATTTTTCATATATTTGTTTTGTTGTCGTTGAGTATCTTGGTTATGAGTTTCATCCAGAGACAAATGGGAAGCCTTGGTCACAAGGAACTATTCCAGCACATGCAGCCCTATGTGGTCATGAGATTCGTTTTCACAAGCTGTTAAACTCAGTTCTCAGGGTGTTATTGGAAGGGTGAGAATGTGAAAGATTGCCTTAGCTACCACCTGCCAGTGACTAGCTTAGCTTCCGTCTCATTCAGGCATTCTAGTGAGACTTAAAATAATTTAAGGAGAAACTCTCAGTTTACACCAAAACTGAATGATGCACTTAGGACAAGATACTGTGGGCTTTCAGGCAGGTAAAGGTTAGTTTGATGGGTGGGAGAGAAGGCTGTTCCTGTACTGCATCACACTGAGTAGTGGATAATTACGAAGAACCAACACATACTTTTTTTTTTATGATCAGGAGTCATCTTCTGCTCCCAGCTAAGATGCAACACCTGAGAGTGGATTGATTCTCCTGTCAAAAACACCTGCAAAACTATACAAAATCGATGAGATAACTGTTCTCAGATCACAGGACGCAGAGGAATGTGACCTCTGAAAGGTAGGACACAAAAGGGGTGCTCTGTCATTGTCCCAGGGGCACAATTTCACAGTCATGACTTATGTGGCAAGTCCCAAGAGAGTCCCACTCAGCAGGAGAGTCAAGAAATACATTTTGTGATCTGCTATAACATGGCTTAGAGTAGAGAGGACCAAAGTTAAAAGCTGCATAAAAGGGGGGGGGCAGGACAAGTGACAGGCCACACCAGGTCTAGTTGAGAACAATCACTACAGGGTTAAAAGATAACAGCAACATTAGAGGTCTCAGAGTCCCTGATGATGATACCTTGCTAGCCTATTTCTTCTGGAAGGGCTTTTGTCTCGTGGATTTCAGTGCTGTGTTATATTAGGTGTACACATGCTAAAT